CCGCGGTCCCGGGGCTTACCGGCATTGGGTCGCCTTGCAGGTACGTCCAGGTGGTGGATCCCGGGTGCCGAGACTGCTGCGATTTTCGGAGAAAATGCAAAGTCATAAACTAAGGCAGCCCCGTAGCTTATCGGGGGTTGGAGGAGGAGGAGGAGGAGGAGGAGGACTGTACTGCGTATACCTTACTGTAGTAGACAGCTTTGGAGGTGCGGGTTGGGTGTCAAAGGTGTGCCCACCTATCATCCTTCTTCCCCCTCCCTCCCCTTGCCTCTCTCCATTGACCAAAAAGCAAAAATCGTGTGCAAGAATTGGGTAAAAGGAAGAAAAAGGGACGGGCCAGAAACAGACAGTTTTGAACCAGTACATGGCGGGGGACGTGCCCCAGTCGGGACGATGTACCTCTACATCGGACCCCTCGAGAGCAAAAAGGGAAGAAGCTGGGAGAAAACCAAGAGTCAGTCGACTAAGACGACCGGGTCCGTGGTTCTCGTCCGAGCAAAGGGGAAAAGTGGGAGGATTGGGGGGAAAGAGAGAGAAGAAGCAAAAAGAAGATGGGAATCAGCAAGGAAAGCATCAGCTCGAATTCTTCAATACACCCTCCCCTCTCTTCCTTCACTCCCCTTTTCCCCTCCTCCCTCTATACCCAAGGTTGCTTGATAGCTGGCTCGTAACCGTCCCAGGCCTGAGAGGAGGGTAGAGAGAGTGAGATCATGGCTAGTAGGGTAATGGTCTGCCGGTGGCCCAACACTACCCTTCCCACCCAGAGATAGGCTAAAACTTGACGCAATCACTTTGCGTTGACGGCCCGACGAGGGCTGCAACGTCGGCTCCTGCATTGCGCCGGGTCGGTCTATGCAGTTGCTATGTTTTGCCGCCGCCCAGGGGGTATGTTCGTGTGTGCGTATGTATGTATTGCTGGACACATCGTATTCTGGGTTCAACCCGGGTTCTGCCTCGTTCATCGCTTTCGTCAATGATGTCTCGCAGGGCGACCTCGGTCTCGCAGATTCCTCTATTTGCCCTCTTTTTGCCCAGACGGCATCGTGAACAGCCTCTCCCAATCGCATCTTGCCAAAGTGGTCAGCTACTTGCCGGCTGCTTCATCCCTCGTTCCCTGGATGTGTGTAAAGGAACGAACTGCCGGTTAATGCTATTTCGTCTGTCCGACAGCTAAGAAAAAACTGGTGACAAGGCCAAGGAAAGTAAATGAAAGCAAATACCCAGGAATAGAAGCGTAGGTAGACGGCAGGAGGGAGATACAAGGCACCAAAACTCAATTAATTGCAAATCATCAGTCTTGAACAAAGTTGTGGTGTCGGCGGCTGATGGCCGGCTCAGCTTTGTGCCTAAAGTCCGTCCGTTCGTCTGGCTTCCATTCGCAAGTTGCGAGCGAGCGCCAGATAAGATACGAAGGTACGAAGGCACGATACGAACGAGGCGTGTGTGTGCAGTACGGCACGGTGCAACAACACTTGGACGAGCCAAGGAAGCAAGTCAAGCCCCAAAAGCTAGGACCTCCTCGATGATGGGCAGAAAAAGGCTTCCAGAACTGCCGTCCAAGTGATGATGGAAGACGGAACGGTGTGGAAGAGAATGGGAAGAGGACAAGCCACAGAAAGTTTGACCTGAGAAGGCAGAGAGGGTCGCGGGCAACAAACAGAGTTGGCAGGAAACGAACACATGCGTGACATGGGAAAGATGTTTGAGGAAAGAAAAGGACAGATGAAAATGTCAACGTCGCCGGGGACGCAAGACGATGCAGGGGAGATGCCCGGGGTTGTGAACTATGTACAGCCGGTCGTCGGGGAATATTGTCTGCTCGGCTGCTCTGTCTCTTCTCAGCTCAAGCTGTGATGCCCAATTTAGGTTCCATTGTGCGCTCGGAGGAGAGCATGGGAGGGAGGGGGCAACTAGTACTTTGATGGCATCTTTGCCCAGAAAAGACAAGACAACAAGATGCAACTGCAGCTGAGAAGCGTCTGCCTGAGAGAGGCTGAGATACCTACTTCGTACATGGCCTGCCCGATCCAGCGAGACACTTGTGCATCGAGGGGGTTTCGATGCGGTAGACCAAGCCATCTTGGGAGACCGATGCCGTGCGCTGTGGTTAGCGGGATGCAAGGTGCACGAAAACCCGAGAGAAGCATGCATCTCGCGCATCATTCATCACTCACATACGCAGCTCGTGCGGCGGGGGGGGGGGGGGGGAGGCAGTCCGGTATATGTGTCGAGCTGTCGTCGCGATGCCGTGATTCAAGGTGTATGTATCCGTATGGAGGTGAAAGATGCAAGTCAGCGTCAGCATCGGCATCAGCACCAGCATCAGGGAAACATCAGCATCATCCGCACACACATGCACACAGACACACACGCACACAGCCGAAAGTAAGAGTGCCTGCTTTGCCCAAATGGAAATGCCAAAGTACCGTACCTAGGTACCTGACCTTACGTACATGACGGGGACGCAAGGCAGGTGTCGTTGTCAAACGTGGCTGCCGTGAAGCCCGAGTACGGCAAGAACGGGGACGTGGGACCTGGGACGTGACCCACGGGAAGTGGGGGCCAAAACCCCTCCCCAAGGCTGGGAAGGCACTCACACAGCTCAGCGCCAATGGGAAGTGGAAACGCGGCCCCAAAGAAGAAGTCGTGCTTGCCCTTTGCTGTGCCGCTGCCCGCTGCCCGCGTCCGCCCGCCGTTTCCCCGTAACCCGTAACCCCGTTCCCCGTTTCCCGTCTCCCGTCTTCGCAACCACCAACCATCCACCCTACTTTACCCCCTCCATCCTTCCTGCCTCCACTTACTCCCATAAGCGTCCTTCCTTTCCGTCCGTTTGTTCCGACCCTGAACCGTGTCCGAGCTACCACCACCACCGCCAGGGCAGCCCAAGGGCCGGCTCACCTCGCCTCGGTACGTACCTTTGGCTCGGTGAGCTCATTGCCTGATTGGGCAAGAAGCTCTTTTGCCTTTTCGTCTACCCGTCCACCGTCCACGCCGTCTGTTATTTTCCTTTTTTTTCCTTTACCCTTTTCTTCAAGCGCACCAACGGGAGGGAAGCAGATAGCTTTGATCGATATATTACATTAGCGTCGTTGACAAGTTCACTCAACGGCACCGGCGTCGATCAATCTTCTTGAAAGGAAAGGAAAAGAAAATACTAGAGGAGGGAAAAGGGGACGAGGAGGGGAGGGGTGTGTGTGAGGGGTTAAAGTCAAGAACACTTAGCCCAAAGTCCAAAAGCTGGCGTCTTGGCTGAACCAAGAAAAGCATTTCCTCTCTTGTAATATTCTTCTCAAATACGCCCCTATGCACAGTAACATTTGTCGGCTAGCGCGACAGATCCCATGAGAAAAGGGGGGGGGGCCTTCTGCGCTGGCGCGGACCGAGTATGTCTACAACACTCTTTCGCCGTCGCTCCGAGGAAACAAGGGGGTTGTGTGACGTGGCGAGACGACGCTGCCAACGAATTGCTTCCTTCTGCGTTCTTTGTCTCTTTCTTTGGCTCTATCTTTGGCTCTATATCTGTCTAGCTTTCTTGGGTATCTTGTCCACTAAGGCGCGCGTGAGACATTTCTGTCCTGTCAAGACGGACGTTGGCACATTGAAAAGAGGTGACGACGACGACAACGGCGGCCTGGGTTTGTAGTCATTGGCATGGGCCCCTTGGCCTCCCAACCCTCCTTCCCAGTCTGAACAGATCGCGCGCCGTTCATGTGGGTTGGATGGATGGGATCTGACCTACCGGGTCGATCATAAGCAAGGAAGACGTGGGTGAGTGAGTGAGTGGCAGGGAAAAAAAGGCCATGTACGAAACGGATTGGGATGACTCGCATCTATGGCATAAGCTGACTTTTTGCCCGGTCAGTGGTCCAGTCAACCGGCCACCTGGAGCCCGGGGCTGCCAAACCACCCTTCGTTTCTCTCGATCATCTTGCGGCTTGTCGCAAATCATCCAGTAAAACTGCTTGGGATCCTTTCTTCTTTCCCCCCCTGACGGTCAAGCTACATACACACACACACACACACACACTTTTTACTCGCCTCACTTCGAGTTCTTTTGGGACCACCCCCACCCCCCCTAGCCTATCCCCCACGCCCGTGAGTTTCTTCTCGTCATTGGGATTCTGACCAAATCGGCGTTTGTTTATCAGATTCAATACGTAACTCAAGGTTGTGGGTTGGGTAGAGGACACAATCTTGCCAAGCCAAAATGATAACACACAATCGATCGTCTATTGTTTGAATTTCTATAGATACCAAAAGTCCGGTATGAAAGGATCTCATAATCCGGCCCAAACCCGGTCTCCGTCTCAAACATACGACGCCATCACTGACTAGTCCGGCGTCTCATACATGAAATATCAAAAGAAAAAAAACAAACGCAGTCGGCTGTAATGGTGAACAGCCGATGCTCTATCAAATATCCGCTTTGAAAACCCAACTTGATGAACAAGTCCTAGTCCCCTCCGTCCCTTTCACGCCAAAGCTAAAGGAATAAAAGTGCAAAATAAAACAAAACATAAAACCCAGCGCTGTGGAAAAGTTGATTTTGGTCGGACCAAACCATCCCTCGGTAGAGGCAAACATGGCTTTTCTTTCTGTTGTAATGATGACTTTGACTCTTCTTGTTGACACACAACCCTTTTCTTCTCTCTTGCTTCCTTCTCCTTATTCCTATGCAGCCAACTCCCATGTTTACAGCCCATAAGAAATGTTCTGCGTCGGTCGCCCAACTATGCGATTCTCTGAGAGATAAACCCAAAGTATAATAACCCAAATCAAGCAGTCCTCTTTGGGAAACCCCGCAACCTCCCTCCCTCCTATTATAATCTGTATTCGTAGTATAGAGCGAACGAGTTCGAAACAGTGAAACGAAGTGGGTATAAACTGGGTAGCGAGTGTCGATGTAGAGAAATGCGGTCGGTCGATAGAATCCCAAAAGGCCTAAGTAAGAGATGAACACTTTTCTGTCGTACGTTGTTATAGTTCCGTCGTTCTCGGCTTTACCGCGGGCCACCCTCATGGACATGATGGTGATGCCCGTGGTGACCCGGTGGTGGCGGTCCAGCAGATCTGCTCGCGAATCCCGTCTCATGAGGGACACGCGTGTAGCTGGGATACAAGGGACCAGCGGCAGACACGCCTGGCCCCGATTCCTGGCCAGCGTAAGGGCCCTCCATGCCCCGAAGAGGTGGTAGTCGCTCTCCGCCCGGCGCCGTAGACGGGGGTCTCTGCGGCATCATGCCATACGCCGGAGCCTGCATGGGCGGCAGGTTTCCAGCCTGGGGGATCGGAGTGCCATATGAAGGCATCGAGAACTCTGGGGGCGGGGCCGAGTCGGTCCTACGTCTACGCGTCGGTCGTTCCACTGAAGACGCCTCGCTCGATGCGTAGCCCTGAGACTGATGTGGCAGCATCGGAGCTTGCACCATGGGGCTGGTCTCCGCCATAGATCCTCCGCTTCTCGACGACGTTGGGCTCGGAGGTCCGTTTGCCATGTCGCTGAGAGGCGTTCGAAGAACCACATCGCGGAGACGATTGCGCTCGTCCCGGTAAAAGTCCCTCTCCCGGGTCAACTCCCGCACTCTCACCTCCAGGTCACGTCCACGCTGTTCCAACTTTTGCAGACTGGCAGTCTGTTCCTGGTCTCTCTCCTTCTTCCTCTGTCTGAAGCGTGCCGAAGCCCCGGCATTCCGTTGGCGCTTCTCGTCTGCCTGCTTTGACGCCTGATGTACGTCTACGGGTATGAGAATGCCTCCCTCGTCTCCCGGTAGCCTGACTACCATGCCACCCTCCGCCTTTGTCACATCTGACCGCAGACTTTGGTATAAGGACGTTCCAGCACCAGGTGTGGACCAAACAGGGACGCCTGGTGACTGTGGTGGATAGTTCTGACCCGGAGGTAGCATTGGTTGACCATGGAACTCTGTTGGTCTGCCATGAGGATCTCGTGCCATAGGGGGCAGTTGAGGCCGTTCGGGGTTGCCAGGCTGCATGTGTCCAACCATGGGCTGGGACATGGAACGCGGCGGCGTTGTGAGCGGACCCATTCCTGCTGAAGGAGGGCCTAGGGAAGGTGGTCCAGAGAAGGGTAGACCGGATGCTGAACGTACGGACTCTTGGGGACCCTCCTCGCCAGGGTAAGGGCGCTTCAGTCGCGAAGCGTTGGGCGGTAAAAAGGGAGTTTGTTGTGGTTCGTGGCCTCGCATACCCGTCTGGCTCACGCTGGCTGCGCGTACTTCTCGAGGACTGAGAATCTGCCTTGGAGCACCCATGGGAGGGAAGGGAAACCCACTCTTGGGCGAGTGTTCCGATGGTGTGTGGCCCAAGGGCGTGGTTGTCGGGTGGCCAGCTGGAGTACCGGGCTGAGAACTAGGATGTCCTCGACCTTGGAATGCATACTGGCGATCACTAGATGTGGTATATTGCCCCGGAGGCATGCCATATGGCGAGGTCTGACTGTCAGTTGGCCGAGGCTGTGATGACTCGCCAGTGGAGCTTTCCTGTTGCGCTTCAGACGGGTTAATCAACCCTCTGATGCCCAAGGACCGTGGAGCATTGGAGTGTCTCTCGCCGGCTGCCGAAGGGGTTGTGACAACATCTTGGAACGCTTGACTGTCTCGAGATAGAGTACTCTGCTGGGAAGTAAAGGGAGCTCGAGATGGTGATTGCGTCGTAGAGTGAGGTGCAAGCCCCCTCTGTGACATCGAGACCTTTTCCCCTTCACTCTCCCGGCCGTTTTGGCCCGAACATTGACCGTTCTGGCCAGTACTTGAAGCCGAGGAATAGTCCGAATCTGGCCCGGGAGAAGAAGGTTGCTTGGTAGTGTGTGTGTTGTTTTGTCCAGTATACCGGTCAGTTGTATGCAGACAAGTTGTCTGTGCGTTTTCGCCCTCCTTAGCCTCGCGGCTACGTTGGGGTTGGTGATGTCCAGAGAATCGGACAACCGCTGAGATCGCCAGATTGTCGGCTTTGGTGGGACTAACTGGGTCGAAGCCAATAGTCCCAAGGTCTAGATATCACGAATAGGTCAGGAGGTAAGAAAGACTTGTTCAACGGCCGCAACGGAAACAGCCCAGTCAAGTCAATCTTCTGATCCAAGAGCTGGCTAAAGCACGATGTGGTAGATGCAGGTCTATCGAGATTGGCGTCGGTGGTCGTAATGATGACTTCCCTATGTGATGGCAGGCTGCTTTGCTTTTATCGACTGAGAGAAGGAGATCTCCAGATGAGACGCAAGTTTCAGTGGACAAAGTACTTGGGTGACCGCAAAAGGCCGTGGAAGAGGTTGGAAAGCTGGCTGAAGGTTGGCAGTGCCGATGGTCAGGATTAAATGTGTTGATGGCGTGGTAAGAGTGCAGGCCGAACGGGCCACTCATGACTCTGGATTCGATCCCGGGCAATGAGTGGCCGAGGAGAACCTCAGGCACTAGGTGATGGCTGGATCGACTCACTGTGAGTAGCCAACGCGTCCTTATTCCTTGCTAGAGCTAGTTGTCTTTCTTGCTGGTCTTTTCATAAACCCAGGGATGATCCAACAGTTTGACGTATTGCAGGTCTGTCCTCTTGAGAAGAAAGAATCGTTGCAGAACGTGAACCACAAGTGATAGTTGTTGCTAGGCTGGATATTCGAAGCAGTGTAGTGCGGTGAGCCGTGTTCCTCGTGTGAACTGAATGTTATTTCGATAACCGGGCAGGGTGGCTTGGTGACCAAGGTCGTATTCGATTTAGATGAGCAAGTGTGATCGAAAGGAGTGGTTAGGATTCTCTTGCAAAGCTGCTATGGTTCCAATGTAACCGCGGGTCATTACACGACAGAGACTATTAGGCAAGGTCGGGAGGACCAGGTCTATTTGATTCTTTTTCTGAATTGCCCTAGCGTACTGTAGTTCTCTTATGGGCGGCATAGCCTTCTTATCGACCGAACCCTAGCAACTTGCTGGGGAACCAACGAGCTTAACGTGCATGGGGGTGTACACGGTGGTGGAGGAGAAGGAGGAGAAGAGGAGGATGAACGGCGACATGGATTTGGATACAAGTTGAAGCTGTTGGGTTGTGGACAGCAAATGTGCTGGCCGGGGTACATGGCATGGGATCAAGGGAAACACCAGGGGGTAGACCCAGTCTCGGCGCCATAGGGTGCTCAGACACTGACAGGGCTTAGTCGACCGGTTGCTCTCGTTCGGGTCGAGAGGTAAGTAACGGTACAAGTCCCCTGCTGACATGACGGTACCGACTTTTCCCTCTCTCTCTGCGCACTTGTCTTGCTTGCGTGCCTTGGCTTTGGCTGGGACCTTGACCTAGGGAACTTTGCCTCTTGTTTTTGCTTCTTGTGACATGCCATGCAGAAATACTTTTTTCCAGGAGGGTTAGCCATGCTTGACGCACGGGGCCAAAATGTTCTCGACTGAAGAGCCATTCCGGAAGGGCAGCGAGAAACTGGGATGGTGCTTGCTTCTGCTGCCTCGGTCTTCCTAGCAATGACGGGCAGCAGTTAGTGATGCTTCGCAGCTAGCTAGCTTGAGCTAGCTGTCCGTACAAATTCACAATGCTCAGCTCAGGCGGCGTCAACTTTCAAGTACGCGAGGAATGACTGCTCGGCCGAGACGTAGCGGGCAGCTTGTCATGAACCCAAGGTGCCGCGAGATGACGATGCGCTGCGCAGCCGTTATTGTGTCGAGGGCAGCTCCGTGACCTGCAAGGATGGTGGCACGTCTACCACTCCACGATGCTCATTGCGTATCTTGCTGTCCCCCTCTCGCACAGATGTGTTCGCGTCTGAGGTGTGTGTGCAGGTAAGGCACTGGGGTCTGTTGTCAGCAGCAGTCAGATATGTCTGGAAGGAGAAGAGGAATACTCTTACGCCCCAGGAACGGCTTCCGCTGCATGATGCAAGAATCGGGGAGCTTCCCCTCTCATCACCGCCCTTCTGACCGACTTTGGCAGGCCGAGGGAGAAGCGCGGGATGTTGGACCTTTCTCTCATCTCAGCCAGTGCAGCGTGGGAGGGAGAAAAATCCAAATCGGCCGGGATTTCGGGGGTCCCTGCGTAGGTCTCCGGGGGGGGGGGGGAGGGGAGAGAAGCGAGAGAAGTAGAACTGGGGAGTGAAGACGACGTCCTTGGACCAGGCTCATGGAAGCTACTTAGACGCTAGGTAACTAGCCGGCTAGCGTAGTTCGTCGAGCATGGCAAGGTACAGAGGGGAGGTAGACGGTAGCGTGCGGTGTCCCGTAACTGTTCAGAGAATAGTGCGGTGGTAGTGTCCAACGTTCGAGTCCATGGATCCCCGTCGAAGACTTTTCATCCCAAAGTGCCCGCCTGCCCGGTGCGGGTTGGATCCAGCGCGGCGTGGGCGATGCTGGGCAGATCGCCATTGTTGTTGCACATCCATTCGGCTCGGCGTCAGTCTCTTGAATAATATTTCATATCTGTATATCCGTACGGAGTACGAATATTGAGCGGAATATAGGGTATCCAGGTGATGTATAGTATCCGCAGGCAATGGAGCACCTGGTCACATCCATATCTTGTCAGGACCCGGAGCGTCCGTCGGTTCTGGTTCGCTTCAGTGTATACCCAGATGCGCAGATTGTAGCCCCCGGAATCCAGGTAGTTAGCTAAATCCGCACTCCGTGTGTGGCGGTTTAGCCTTTAGGAAAGTCGATTCGCAAGCCCTTGGGCTAATATCAAATCGGCAAGCCGGATAGTGAAGAATGGGGGCCAGTTGGGTTAGCGCAACGGCGGGCCAAATGAATGTCTATGATTGGAATCCATCTGATCAACGGTGACGTTTGGAATGCCCGTCTAGGGCGGGAATAAAGCTGTACTATTTCGCATGAGTGGCCAAGAAAGGAAGACAGGGAAACTTTGAGCTACAACTCAGCGCCGTTATCTCTTGCAGCAGCGGTTCTGACATCTGTACACCTGACGAGAAGGAGAGCACTCGAGCGCATGATTGCAGTTCAGGAAAGGTGGGCCTGGGGTTCGAGATGAGATACCCAACCCAGATGTTTGTTTGTGTGGGTGTATGTGTCTGCGTGTTCGAGGTGAACTAGAGGCTGGTCAGTCGATGACTCGTAGTGCAGGTTCTCCCACCGGCGGGATCCGATGGAACACCTGTCGGTGACGGATGCGCGATATTCTACTATTCCGTTGCTTCACAGCGGTGTCCAGGGTGAATGAAGGTTGGGCTGAAAGGAAGAGAAAGAAGCGATCTGTACGGAGTACGTAGGGTCGGTCCATGGCAGCTCACGACGATGTTTGAGTTATCTAGACGTGACTAAGGTACCAACTCATTTTGACAGTACGTATACGGAATACTGAGTAATTACTGCCGCGACTTGGGTTGGACAACATTAAACCACAAGGGGAAAGGACGACGAAACCAGAGCTAGGCAAGATTCAAGAAGAAACAATAGCGGAGCTGGACCAGGAGATGGGTAGCAGCCGGTACGGCAGATGCGGAATGATGTAAGTCACGGCCCTCTTCTTTTGGGCGTACCGGTACATGAGCCGTGGTTCCTGACCAAGTTCCTCCGCCTAGCGCACCCTCAGGCTTGCGCACCCATCGGCATGTTTCTGCGAGTTGCAGGGGAGACACGAACGGTGCCAGGCACTTGGAGTGCACATTCCAAGGGCATGGTGCTCAATTTACTCTAGGCTCTGGCAATCTACGCAGTAGTGTGCCAGTAGCTACTCTCAGGTCTGGACGGATACGGTTCATCGTGACCCAACTCACCTGAATGTCCTGAACAGAAGTGGGCTGCTTTAGACCTCGCTGTCGAGACATGTCTCCTTCCCCCGGACATGTCTCTACCTTATCCATACAGATACTTCAAAGCATTAACACGGCAGGTAGCGTAGTGCCCACCGGCAGCACGATGCTACTTCCGAGGCGAGATCCGGCTTGCTGCCGATGGCGACAACCCTCCGGTGCTTTAGAGTTCGGTAGGCAGCGTATCGTTCGGAATCTGGGGCAAGCCGCAACGCGGGAAAGGGGAGGCTGGAGCTTGGAAGAACGGTGTGTATCTGGAACTTGTGTGCCAGACTCTCAGCAGAGTCTAATTGCAAGGAACTCAACTTGTGTATCGTACTTGATTGACCTCGCTCTCGATTGGATGTCATGCGTTCTTGGACCCTGACCTTCCGACGGCTTGGGCAGACAGGCGACATACTCCGCTCCTGGGCCGAGCTTTAGGAGGGGAGGGGACGGCTCAGGTGGTGTCGACGAGTGTTTGTGTCCTTTCTTGCGCAAGATGGATGATGAGGAGCTGCTAGCCGTGGGTAAGGAAGTCTATTTGATGACGGAATTTCCTTGCGAGGGACCACTAGGCAAACATGCAAGCATCACGGCATAGGACAAGCTGGGATGAAGGTGGTAATTGGAATTGGGGGCGGGAGGTAAGGGAACGGACGACATTCATCGCTTCATTGTGCAAAGCACGAATCGAATCGCAGCAGCGTGATAGCAATGAGATAATCGAGACTCAAGGTTGAGCCAAAGCCTGAGCATGAGCCTGGCTGTTGAGTCTTGACAGTCGGTCAAGTGCCGCACCGTTTACTCATCGTCGATGCCAACCAAAATTGGCTTTTCATCTTTTCATTTCGTTTCTTCCTCTGGTTCTCTCCCTTTCGTTCTCTGTCTAGTTCCCTTCTTCCCCGCTCATTAATCACATCACTCTCATCTCTTTTTTCCACCCCGCCCGCTTGTGTTGCAACTAGCTCCCAGGTCTCGACACCTCTCATGTCTCCCCAAAAGGCATTCACACCCACTCTGAGTTTCTCCGAGTATCTGAGCCCTAGACAAAAGAAGCTGCGAGTCTATCGTTGAATGTCTCAAGCTTCACTCGTCTTGTCTCAAAACGGCATCCGATGCTTGCCTACTCAACTGACTGCTGACAATTGCCCTACGGTGATTATGAGTCTAAGAGTCTAAGAGTCCGACCATCTGAGACGATTCTGAGTTGTTCAACACCACCTTTGACAACCCTTCATTGCAAGACGACCCAAGCCAGCCCAGTCATGCACTGCGTGATGTGACGCGATGCACAGCACAGCACAATAAAGCAAGCAAGCAAACCACATCGCATTTGCACTTGAACCATCTGGATATTGGGCACCCATGGCGCATCCACATTCCTCCTTATCCCCTGTTCCCTGACACATCACGCCTGTACACCCACAACCATCCTCACCCTGGGGCTTTCCTGGTCCGCGCTTGCTAAAGGTATCCTCAACGGAACCACTTCCTCGCCATCGTTCTTGTCTGCCTTCCCTCTCCACCGCTGGAGTAGGTTTTCCTAGGCCCTGGGCAGCTGGGCTGGCATGCCTACCGCTTATCCCTGCCCTCCCAGCCCACGCCATCCCAGCTGCACCTTGGACACGTTTTGGCTCCTCATTTTCTCTCGCGGAAGACGGAATCTAGCCCTGGCTTGCTCTAACGTCACCGTCACCGTCTTTTCGAGAAGACGACAAGGACTCATCAAAAACGATCTCGTCTCATCCATTCCTCCCGCAGCCAGCGGACGGACACAACTCCCAGACGCTATGGATACTTGTTCTCTCCGGCCCACTGCGGCGATCTTGATCCGGAAGGCCCTTCTGTCTCACGCTCATCGAATTTCGACCTGTCATATTCACGTCCAGGCCGGCTCTACGATTCGAGCACTATGGAAACATACGTGTACGAACTACAGAGTACGGTGTATGTCTGTCTATGCCATACACAATCCGTCGAAGAAACCATGACCGCTTTCTGTCTCATGCACCGACAGCTCTTCCATGACAGCACAGCAATGCAGTCGGCGCTTGAACGGATACAAACACGCTTCTGCCTCTGCTTCGCTCTCACTTATCCAACTTGTCGTTCACTGCTGCCCGACACGCCTGCAGCGTCTTATTCCCGCTGTGTCTCATTGAAACATTGCGCAGACTGGAAGAAGACGACCAATGGTCCGTCCCGAAGGCTGGTAGTACCTACAGAGTTCCATAGTCACTGGACTTTTGTCTGGCTTCTGGAGCTTCTCAAAGCAGGGACCTGAGTCGCACATCTCGTGTATCTGCCCCTCTCGAGGTGAATCCGGCAAGCTCCAAAGACCTCCCCAACTGATGATTGCATGCTAGCCCTACAGATACAGGCAAATCCATTCCACGCTCGTAGAAGGCGGTCAGTTGACGTGCAAAGTTTAACCCCCATAACATGCAAGCTAGCAGACCGATGGTCTGT